CCTCTGGGCTCCCTGTGACCTCTGGGCTCCCCGTGACCTCTGGGCTCCTCACACCGGGCATTTCTCCGAGGGACACCTCGACACGTCAGCCGGCCATTGTCATTGTCCAGTTCAGCAGGTGCTGGGCAGCGTAGGACCTCGAAGCTGGCGGGCACCTGAGGGAAGCGTCTGGTTGAGTCAGAGGTTTTTGGGATCCCGAACGCGACGTGTCTGGGGCTGGCCTATGTACCAATCAGTTGGGTTGCTTGAAAAGGGCTCGTCATGGCATATTCCAAACCCATGGATGATCTGGGATAAGTGAGGACACTTCCCCAAAGACTGATCGGTGGATTTGCCCCTCGGAATCCAGCCCCGAAGCAATGGGAAGGGTTTGGTTCGGGTCCCATTCCTATGGGTTCGGGTCCCACCCCTGCCATGGAGGGGTCAAGGATTCTTAGGGGTGGGTTGCCCATCGTTTGGGAGATGGAAAAACACACTGGAAAAAAGACAATGGAATTATGTTTGTTTGTTTGTTTGTTTTTTCAACACACTTTTATATCATTAATGTGGTGGCACGTCGGATTTGTTCAAACATGTTCAAACCCGATTCAAACCCACATGTGTGTTCTTTTTGGACGCACGTCGAGCCCTTCCACCCGCCGCTCCGTCTGGTTTTCCCCTCGACGTCCTGCCTGGTTGCCGGAGGCTGTGCCACAATGGCTGCAGTGGAGCACATCGCCTGAGAGGCAGGAGTTTGTCTGTGAACAGTGTGGTTGTCTGATTTCCTGTGCGAGGCAGCTGCTCGAGGCAGCAACCCGTGACGTCAGCTCCTGGCACTCATATTATCACTTCCCGCCACCATCGAACGGAACGTGTCAGCATGTCCAGGTGAAACGAAACGCTAAGGAGTGTGACTGACTAAGTGACACATCAAGTCTTTACGTGACTGACTGACCTCGGCGAAATCCTGTTTCAATGCTTCCAACCATACCAGGGAGCCCGCGCAGTGCGGGGGTGGTTCATGTCTCTAAGGAGCTATCAGTCATTAGACACCGCCCAGAGAAGCCGTTCCGTCGGCGCCGGAACCCGAAACGCACCCGGTTTTGTAGCAGTCACGAAGCTCCGGAGTCGAGTCCCTAAACCCGAGACGCACCCGGCGCTGGAGCTTCTCCGGCTTCATCCGTTGGTGAAAAACCAGAAACAACGCTGGTGACCTCCTGGGTTTGGAATGGTCTCAAGATGTCAAACCAGTGATGTCTCACTGGGTTTTCTATGGTTTTCTATCGGTCTTCACCGAAGCCTTCACCCCTATTCTCCACTCCAAAACATCCTGTGATGTCATCGGTCACCGATGAAATCTGGGTGAAGCTCCTCTGCTCCTTGCAGCGGCAACAGCGGTAACAGCTGCTGGCCGCACGGTAACGACCACATCCAAGTGGCCCTGCATGTCACAGCCCTTGCAGCTTCGCTGGTAGCCGCCGCGAGGAATGGACGCTGCGTTGGGCTTGGGCTCGCACTGCAAGCGGCCCTGGATGTTGTTGATCTGAGGCAAAGGGCACTTCTGGTACCTACAGGGCAGAGCGGCAAAGCATGGTTGACAGTGTCTGGGGACACCCCGCCACTTTTTTCCCAAGCACCCAACTGTCATCTGATTGTCAAGTGAGGTCCGGTCCTGTCTCCAAAACTGATTGGTTCGACTGTGTCCTCATGTGTCATCCAAAGCCCTTAAACCATGCATTTGAATTTGTATAACTCGTGAACTATAGTGTTCCTTAATGTATAAATTATACCCCCCAGCAATGGAAGCGGAACATGGTTCCTTGAAAGGCCCTCTTCCTCCACAAACAGGTGGTGGCATCCACTTCCATGTGAATCACTCGGAGTGTAGCCTGACTAGAGGAATATCTCCGCTCCCCAGCTTGGAATGGGCTTATATGGTGGGTGATCAATATATTCATTCTTATTGCTGAAACGCCATTCTTCGCCTTATGTCGACCTTTCAATCAGTACCGTATGCTTGCTGGATATATTCTTATACATCAAGCTGAGGCGCTCCAAGTTTGAGGCAATGGACGGCGACCCAGGCGCTCGGCAGTGGCTGCAGGTGAGTCTGGTGCCCGAGATCAAGCAGCCTCGACAAGAATCCAAGTAGCCTCGGCAGTCACGGCCGTCGCACCGATGCCCAAGGGCACCACTCGAAAGAACGACCGAGTTTGGGGCGCCGCCGTGCGACAACAGGGTCGGACTCGCCAGGAGGGCTTGACCACTGGCGTTCGGAAGGGGTAAGACCAAGGATACACACCCGGATGATCCTGCCTAGGTGTCCTGGCTAGGCTACCCCCTAATTATAGCTATAGGCTATAGGTCTCCAAACAGGGCACCCGGAGGCAGGAAGTGCTAGGCAGGATGATGCACCCGGAGGCAGGATTCACCACCCTCGTTCGCCTTCGGTCGAAGTGGTCACCTGTGAACGGAGGATGCAGCTGATGTCTCAATGATGAATCAGCTAAATAGGCCAAAAGCATCCAAAGGAGGGTTTGGCCTAGAATGCTTAGGGTTGAAATTGGAAATTGTGTCTTCTTTGATCTTCTTTGCCGAAACTCTCCCAAAATCTCGCCATTTGTTCCCACCTTTTTTAGCACTGTCTTCCAAACCTCCTGACCAACCCACCTTTTGATTTTGTGGGGTGTACGGTGTACCCGGTACAACCCCATTTTGCTTGGTCCGGATGCACGCCAGAAAACCAAAAAAACGCGTATATCGAGGAACTCCCTGGAGGCAAACCCTCTTGATTGGGTAATGGTTTCTCCTTCAGCTGCTCCTGCACGCGCGTCGCGTAGGCCTGGGTGCATCGTCGATGAGCCCGAGCAGTCGCGCAGACGTCGCCCCGACAAGGTGCTGACAATGATCGAGTGCCGGACGTGCTGGCGTGTTCCTAGGGATATGAAACACCAATAAAATCTGGAATCCAATGCACATTCTGTACTTACTTTGTTTGTTGTACGTGTTTTCATATGTTTTTTCCATATGTTTTCATCATAATGCATGAATGACCCGGTGTGATACCCCACATTTGCCCTATAATACACGCCCAAACTCGAAATTCCACATGGCTAGCCCACACCTGGTGAGGAACACCGAAGACCGAAACGAACCCACGAACCATCGCTGTCCAAGCATCTGCTTGATAGTCCAACGCCTCCTGCGATCGATCCCCTTCGCCCTCCGACCGACCGAAACGACCCGCCAGCCATTGACTCGGCCACGGGTACCTGGAAGGGTATACAGCTTTGCTGCGCAAAGAGCCTATATAAGAAGCTCATGTTTTTGGGGATGTTTTTTTGTCGGCCCATCACCTGGAGGATCTGGGTACCGTCCTGCCCCACCCTTTGCAAACCCAACGAATGGAGCACGCTGGGATGAAAATCGGCAGAAATCATATGGGCGTGGACATCAGCACAGCAACAAACATCGTGTGCACGCAGACATCAAACTGCTGGCTCTCTTTGGGGTGAGACATCCAAACCACAAGAAGGACCTGGCTCCATTTTTTTCAGTACCTCTGGTTCTTGCTTCTTGTATCTTGTGTGCAAGGCAAGCATGTAAGATCGTGTAAGCGTGCTCCTTAGCGTGCTCGTCTCCTTAAGCCCTCCGACAAAAACACCGAAGATTCCTGGATTCAAGAGTCGGAGTCGGACAGTCCCAAAGCCGCAAGAACATCGACCACTCACACTTTGGCTTCATAGTCTGTAAAAAGCAATGTAAAAGCCTGGACCTCCCAACAGGTGTCTATGAATAGCTGATTTAGAGCTTGAGAGGCGTCTATTACCCATCCCTGGTGTGGTAGAATCATTCTGAGCAAATTTTATTAATTCTCACCCCGGTGCCCCGTCCTTAATTCCTAGAATTATGTTCATTTCCTCGCCCCGGTAATTCTGTTTCGAAATTAGTGGGCCCGGCCAGCTGGACTTCTTTCTTCCCTCCATCGGAGGGTCAATCCTTCCGCCTTTTAGGCGGGGACAAGTCTTCCGAAATTGACTGCCTCTTGTTGGCATCTGTCAGAGCCTCCCCCAAACTGACGGCCGCGTGCTCTTGTCTGCTTAGCAGTCTGGCCCATGGGTGTGTCGCCAGCAAACAGACGGTAGCACGAAGGGTGCCAGCCTTCATGCTTGGCATACATGTCAAGGATGTTTTCGGAGCCCGAAAAGTTGTTTTTGGTTGTCCTACACCTCAATACTCCACCAAACAAAGTACCCCGGGGAAAAAATAACAAAATGTTAATTCATAATTTCAAAGTCCACCTCGTCACCCCGGCTGGGGTACACTTCTCTCCAAACTGTCAGAGTCGTTCTACCTTCAAGAAGCGGCCCGATGTGCTCCGCACGCTCCACCTCCCGCGCTTCATGTCGATGTCATCGCCCTGCCGAGGTTCCCCGGCTCCGTCCTGATGGGTGGCATTTGGATCAAAGAGCTCTTGCAGCCCGCGCGAATAGCTGCCAGGGCAATACCTCGGTGGAAGAGCTCTGGCCGTGCGAAACAGGGAGAGCGGTGAAGGGAGGGCGTTCCGCATCCATGCCCTACACGCCAACCGCCCACCGTCATGTCTCATTCTTAAGACTAGTGTCTTGTTCTTAAGACCTGTCTCAGTGACGGGGTGTTTCTATCTTGAATGGTTCAATCGATCTATGTCAGATATGTTCACATAGGTGCATAGGTGCAGGAGTCTGGGATTATCCACTATGGAAAGTAAATGAAAGTAATATAGTGAATTGCTTGGTTAGTGACTCTAAGTGGTCTTAGTGACTCTTAGTGGTCTTAGTGATCATTCTCAACTGAAACGTGTCTTCCAAACATGTCTGGGAGACACTTGTGTGTCTTTCTTGTGTAGGGGTGTAATTATAGAGTCTGCCTTCAAAGTGCTCAAGGGGACTCTCAAGGGGCTATGACTGGTTTCTTCTGAATGAGGGTCAGTCTCCTTCACCAAGCTGGAATCTACATATCCACTGATTCTTAGTTCCCCAAACCTCAGCTGATTGGTGGTCACAAAGTACCTGCAAAATGTTGTCAAACTTTCCTCATCCCAGGAAAAGATCCTCCCAAAATGAACCCCCCCAGCACCTGCCGAAGATAGCTTCTTTTAGATGCAATATCAAAAGAGATCAAAATTGGGAGGAGGTGCTCCCCACCCAAACTGAGGGGCTGCTAAGACACCTTTGATGTGCACAGATTGAAATGTCTGGGCAACCACGGATTCCTGCATCACTGGTCCTCACCACACCTGTCCACGACCGGTCCAACCACCCCCAAACGAAGCACCAGCGGTCCCGTCTTCCACCGAAGCACCAGCTTCCCGGCGCGTCGCAGCGCTTGGCCTCCGCGCTCGCCGCCCAGCGCCGCGACGAGGCAGAGACGTCGAGGACCTGCGCCACGCGGACGCGGCGGTGGTGGCCTTGGAGCGATGGAGAGCGTTGATTCGAATCCGCCGAACGGACGAACCTCAACTAGTCTTGCGATGCGTGTATATATAGTTGATGTACATCGATTACCTTGACTAATATGATCTAATATGTGTCAATTGAATGATGCCATCTGTATCTTAGCACATCGGACCTGTACCACTCAGTACTTCACCCGCCACTGGGTCCGCAGGGTCCGGGTCGGACGTCGAGGCGCTGACGTAGACCTCGCGGAAGAGGCGCTCGTCCAGGGACCCGCGGCCACAGAGACGATACACCCTGAGGAGCGAGAGCGTGGCGTGGCGACCATCCATGGGACCTGGGAAGAGTTACCTCTACCCAGACACGGACTGCCATAGGGGGAACTGCCGCCCCAAACAGACCCCCATGGCACCACCCCTGGCCTGATCGGCAAGTGTCTGGGTAGAGTAATTATATATGACCATCCATGTCATGCATATACCTTGGGACCTTCTTCAATAAGGGTATTCTTCAATCAATGCACCTCCAAAATGGATCTAGATAGATCTATATATAGGTAGATCTAGATAAATGGCATGTATGGCCCGTGACAAATCTAATTATGGCCCATCCATCCATTGGCCGCAAACCATCATCCATTGACCCCACTTATGACCCCAAGGTGGGGAACTATAGTGCCTGGGATCGGAAGACATGTCAAGCAGCACCCAGACACTCCATGTATGCCATATAGGCCTCCATTGGAGTGGTTTTGGGGGGTCAATGTAGGAATATATGGCAGTCCCATGGAGTGTCAAGCAGCATGCAGCTCTCGACCGATGTTACCCCCCAAGGCGACCCCGGTCGAAGAGAATCCAGAAATGAGATGGCCCAAGTCCCATGCCCAGACGATCTGCGGGACTCTTTCCATGCCATACCTTTTTAACCCGACTCCTCTCACACGTTGGGCCCCGGGGGTTCACTTGACCTCCGTTGGGAAGGCGGTCAGGTATCCGGGTGACCGGTCGACCGGTCTGCCGGGCTGCAAGTTGATGGGGACATGTGATGCAACTCATGTATAGTCAAACTTGTGTTCTTCCATGCAAAGCCTACGGGCCTACTGGCTAGTTGTGAATCCAAAGATCGTCTGTTCAGAGTGGTCAGTTCTGACACCTACAAGTTTATTCTGCGCTTTAACAAACATGGATGAACTGTGGACCCGAAAGGTTTGTCGGAGTGAGTTCTGACATCTACAGTACAAGCTTATTCCAGGGTATAAACGTCAAACCATGTCAAAATCTTTTGCTACAGTCCTGGAGCTTCCCAGTGACATTTTGATCCCCGGGGACTCCAAAAAGGCCAAAACCTTGCAACGCCAGATGAATCCTGGTCGCAAAGGTTATATAATTGTTTGCTTGAGGTCACACCCTAGGTCCTAGTGTTCAAACATCATCCAGGACAAACAATATACTCTATATTGTGCCCAGGACCGGTTGGTCTTAGTTGTTGAAGTGTCCTTAGGCACCAAACAATGGGGAGTGTGTCCCCCTTACCTGTTGCACCTTCTTTCTTGCAAATTATGTCCAAACATGGAAGACATGTTTTCATCCACCACAGAGAGGCCTGAATAAGAACTGGATGCAAGTGAGGATCAAGGATGCTTCCATCATCTTGCTCCTTGGCTTTGCTGATTGGCCAAAATTACAGTACATGTTGAGGACGGGAATTTGAGAGTTTCTTCCAACATGTTCTAGTCCATCACCAAGCAAACATAGAGATGATCGTGGTTTCCTATCCCATAAACTCCATGTATGGAATTAATATATGCCTACATTGACCCCCAAACCAACCCAATGTAATTAGGCATATATGGCCGTCCCATGGAGATCCATGGAGCATCTAGGTATGTTTCTCTTTATCTCTTTGACCCTAAGCGCAACAACTCGAGCACCTCCAGGAGCCTCCTTTATCTCTGTGCATCGACGGTCGGCAGGCCCAAGGCACGGCTTGCCGTCTGGGAAGATCCCATACTGATCGCAGTCGTCCTGGTCAGGTGATGACAAACATGTCGACTCTTGAGGACCATAATCCCCCTCAATTGGAGGGGTTTATTAATCGTCTACATTACATCTCCCCCATGCATAGATGGTCCAATGGCTTCATGACAATATATGACGGACATGTCGCTAGACCCCGTAGCCGGCGACTCATGCGGTCGGTCCCTGCCTCATTGCAGTGGCCTCGGTAGACGCTGTTGGCGATGCGCGCCATGTGCTTCGACTTTCCCACGTCGTCCTTCCCACCGCCGCCGGACCAAACCAAGACATAGTCAGCCAAGTGTCCTGGACGGGACACAGGTCACATGACATGGAGGAGTGGCAAAAAAGAAACACCGGAGGTTGCTGGAGCTGTGGTTGCTCAAGAGTAGAATTGTCCCTCCTCGTCCCCATTCTGGTATATTCTGGTAGAAGAGAGTAAGACGGAGGCAGAACGTAAGAGCCAGTGGCATGACACGGGCAGACTTACGTGCAGTAAGTGATTGATTCACCAGTTTATAGCGTCGCTGTGGGTCACAACCTGCAGCCCTAAAGCTTAGTTAAAGTTAGGTTTTATCATGTCTGGTAGGACATTCTGTTCACACCTGAACAAAACCATAGAAAATCCAAGATCCCTAGAGAAGACTCAGGATACATCATGAAATATCAGTACAGTAGTCCTTCTTGAACCAATTGAAATCCTGTTCCAAATATATGGGTGTCTATGAAAATAGTGAGACTTCCGGAAGAAGGGAAAATGGACCACTCTACACCCATTGGGCCAGGGGGTCCCCTTATAATACACACACCCATGACCTCTCGGTTGAAGTCCCCCCCGGCTCCAGTCCCTCACGCTTCACTCGCGTGCGGCCAAGGCTCGAGCGATCTTGTGGGCTTCCCCTTGCGGCGAGGACAGTGCCAGGCCCAGGAGGGCGATATGCTCGTGGTTCCAGGTGTTACCTCACTTGGAGAGTGTGGAATTCGCCCAAAGACTATGCCAAAGACTCCAGGTCAGTGTGGCATAATTATACACAGGGGTTGCAGAAAAATGCTACTCACGACAAAGTCTGTGCGGTAACGACTTCTCGATTTGTGCGTGTCGAACGGCCCTCGACACAAAATCAAAACAAACCCATGACGCGGCGCTTTTCCAAGGCGCAAAATGGCTCAGTTGGGCAAGCTTGCGCAGTACACAGGGGAGCAGCGAACAAACATGTCGAGCGTCATGGAACCGCATTCAAGTGCAAACTTTCAGCTACAACATAGGGATCTTATTTCATACGACTGTGTGATACTTCGTGTCTGAGTATGACATCAGGCTACCCCCGACCTCGCCCAGGAAGGCGAGGGTGTGACCGGATGCAATACATGTGGATCCGCTCACGTCTGTCTCATTGGATTTGCCACCGGAACCGGGGGAACAAAACAATAACATGGTCCAGCAGCCAGGGGATATACGAATACCCAGTTCGAGAGGAAAAAACATAATAACTAAATATTGCTTAACATTTATTAACCATATGATACGAGAATAATCATCAAACCAAAGAAGGCACAACCAGGTTCTGCTACCTTTACCCATTTGAGGATTCACTCAATCCTGGTGGAAACCCATGACGTCCTGGTCGTTTGGGTCCCGCCAGTCGCCGCGGAACTCGGAAGGGACAAAGCCCATTGGATGGTTGGTGCTGGATGATGTACTCCTGATCCAACTTCCAACTGACTGGATGAGCTACTTACATGGCCCATCTATATATGGGAACACGACCTGTCTGGGACAAACATATTGACATCCATTGGGCGTGTTTCATGTGGGGTTTCTGGTCGGCCAATGGGAGCCAGTTCCCCATGGAGCCTCTGGGAATCGACCGCCCGAACCCCGTGCCGGACCGGTCGGATGGCAAGTGGCCGTCGGCCAAGGTGGTGCGGTTGGCCAGCCCGGCGATTTGATAACCTGCAGTGATGGTATGTCATAGGGGTTTGTCATGGTTTGTCAAAACATCGGCACCTGAAACAAGATTGAACATTCGATGCTGTGTTCCAGCAGTTGATTTTTTCAATGCGTCTCCCGTACATCTGCAAGTCTGCAAGCTCATTCTCTCCCTGAAACAATCTGGTGGCGGCAGCTACTGGGCACGTGCCCTGATGCCAATTGTGCCAATTGATTGTGCTTAAGATGCACGGGAAGCGGCCGGAAGCAGCTTGAGAGGCTGTGGTATCACTGTGACTAGGAAGGCGATTGTTGAAGATCAACTAGGTCAACTGGTCTTCTCCTAGATTTGCTTAGTTTTGCAAGCACATCCATCGCGTAGTTGTGATTATACGTAATATGCGGGGGCATGCGAAACATCACGAAACCCTTCTTTCTGAAACATGAATGCTCATGTTCACCAGCTCTTTTTGGTGGGGTTCAGTTGCACTTGTTATCATGTTTGTCTCAAGAAAGAAAGAAACCTTCACGAGCCACAGGCGGATGGGTAGTCTAGAGGCACTGGGTCTCCCAGGCTCAGGATGACCGGATCTGTTTTGGGGCCTGGTCCTCGCCAAGGCGCCATAGTCCCACCAGGCCATGATCCGTGCGTCGGAGGCCGTGTTCTGCCGCAGCCAGCCATAGGCCTGTCGATAGTCATCGATGAGCGTGCCATCCTGGAACAGGATAAACAATGGCCACCACAACCCATGTTGATTGATGCTGAAGATTTGTGCTTAAGAATGCAGGATCTGGTCACTCTGATCCGGTCATGCCCAAATTGAAAGATAGAGTTATCAGCAAATCAATGCAAATCATATCATATATGAAGTGTTCAAGTGTTCCTTTTCCTCCCCCACCTTTGTCAAACGACACGCCACATCCATTCAGAATCATTCACATGACATGTCCCACATGTCTTCCTTTCCCTTCCTGCCCACCCCAACGACCATTGCGAGGCTCAGTCCTTCGCCTTGGTCACGATCTGTGGATGAGACAACGACCACCGCGCCTGGCGGATGGGGTGCCACCGGCGGTGACGAACGGTAACAGCATCGTTCCAGCCAAAGGTCGATGGAGGCCATCGTTTCCGAGCAGAAGGCATTCCAATGTTGGCAGCATGCACTTAGGACTTGCCTCTGGAAGACCAAGTGGGAATGGCAACGAGGGAATCTGTGCCGAGAGACAGCTTCAGGTCAAGAGAAGCAGCTGCGAATGACACTGCATCGAGCATGCCGTGCCTTTGCTCTGGTCAGCATGATTGCTATCTTGTCAAGGCATCCACTTCCAAAGAACTATGTTTTTGCGACACAGCATGACTGACACACCCATCCCCCAAGTTAACAGTGTGGGGTTCGTGGCAGAAATACATTCCCAATAGTTAGAGAGCACAACCACTCAGAAGAAGCTAAAGAGTCACCACCCGCAAGGTCTTTGCACAACTTCCACACCTGGATCCACCAAACAGCCAGACCGCCCGCGAGCACCCCGCGTGAGCGCCACCCTGCGTGGCTTGGGGGCGCAGCGCCGTAGGCGCCTTGTGATCGCAGAAATGCAAGAACTCCTCAACCTGGGGCTTGAGCAGGTAGCCTCAGCTGGGCTGCCAGGAAGAGGTGTGGGAGCAGAGCCTCTCCGCAGCCTCTCAAACATCGTCTCAGTGCGTGAGCTGAATTCGGGATGCACATTGGTGATGTTCCTTTTTTTGTGTTGGTCAGATATGTATGGTTTTGGACAGCTGGAAGAAGATGGAAGAAGCCTCGACATTGCTTGGCCCTTGCAATTTGCTTTACGAGCATGTTTGTCAATTGGAGCATCGGAAGCTTCAGAGGGAAGCCTGCAGTCGGACTAGTTGCAAACATACACCAATTATAGGTGGTTTGGAAGCTTCCTTCAACAAGTCCATGTCGGTGTTCCTCTTCCAGTCCCATGGATTGTTGCTTCTGCTCGGTGAAACGATCACCTTGGGCCTTGGGTAGAGGCAAAGAAACGTAAAGGCAAATCCCGCAAAACAATTTGGTATATAAATTATATGAAATATGTAATATTAATGTATAACACACATACATATATATTGTAAAATAAATCGTGAATCGAGTTGAATTTCAATACACGTGTTTATGTTATTGAAGCAAATCCTAACCTGTGCCAAACAAATCTGTCCATTCGGCATTGAACATCATGGAACATATTGTTTATCTTAAAGTTCACAGCTCAGCCCCATTGTTCGCCACAGCCACACATGCCCATCACCGCCGCCAGCCGCAGCAGCCGCGGCACTGGCTGGTCCAGCCAGGCCCCGCGGCGGTGCTCGGAGCGTCCCAGGCGGAACTCGGCGGAGGCCAGGGCGACGTCGGCGAGGAACGTCACGGCGCAACCTCTTCGACGGCGGCCGCTGGGGTCGAAACCCCACGGCGCGTTGTTCCGTTCGGGGCGAAGTCGAGCACTCACCGTTGGGAGTGTGAAGGTCTCTGGCTTCATGGGACTGGAAGAATGACTTTGGTATTATGTTCAATGCAAGTCAACTATTCCAGTGCCATGCGGTTTGGGAATTGGTAGTTTTATAGACACTTGGGCACCTGAAAAAAGGCCGTTTAAGCATGTTTAATCAACGGAAGACGGAAGACCTTCTTTGAGTTGGTCCAACAGGTAGTGGGCACTGGCAGCTTCAGTTCAACTCGCGCTAGCTGCGACTGCTCCACACCCAGTGACCAAAACAACCCCCAAAATCCTCCATATATGTGTTACCCGGGTGGTTTCAGGTATCAATACTAGTACAATTTAAAACATACAAATTGATAAATCATTATCTATATATATATATAGGCATGCATGCATTACATGCCGTATGTGGAAGCATGTGGATTTGTTTTTTACCGGGCTCACATGGGTCCCACATGTGTTCCTTCTCGTAAATAGAGGCGAACGTGCGTTCATCAGACGTTGGTGCGTTTCACACCTTTGATGAAGAACTTTCAGTCGCTGTGGGAGCTCCCCTCTTGATGTTCTCTGCCCATCAATCAACCATCGACCTGCACCATCTAATGATGTCCAGATGATGTCACATGATGTCAGTTATGTTCTGTTCTATGGTCCTATCATGATCGAGAACACATGGTTCTCTCATTGCCAACGTCCGGTCCTTCGCGGGCATCCGACTCGGGACGCGCGACGACGGACGCCTGTGAGGGTGGAGGCAGGTAAGGCCATGAAGATGATCAGCCTGCGAAGTGTACCAACAGTCCCAGACCAACCACGGGACTGGAATAGCCATTACATACATTGACTGCCTATGAACCTAATGTAGGTATAATTTGGTATGCATGGTCTGGGAGTGGTGCCGTGTTCTTCCAGAATTCCATGTTGCCATGGTGTTTCGACCCCAAGTGAGTGGCGATTCTGGCACCACGGGGGGCAGGAGCGCCGCAGCGGGGCAGGTCTTGTGCTTTCGACGCGGTGCAGGAGCTCAGCGCCCCTGACCTCCCAGAGGGAATACGTTCATGAACAATGGCCCACGCCAACGTGAACTAGTTAGGAACGCGCACGGTTCATACAACTATAAACCCAAACACTCCATCTATGGCATGTGCGCGTACATCGACCAATACAACCACCCCATGCTTCACCCCAATATAGGTAAATATGCAATACATGGAGATTTGGGACAAACTTGCTGGTGTCATTTCTTTTGACCACACGCCGAACTGGGGACCACACTATCAGCTTTCCCTCGATGATCAATGGCACCCCGCTCGTGTGCCCGGACCTGCATTGAACATGTGTTATCCTTGTTGATGTCTGCTGAAACCCCGCTTTCATACTACATAGGTGGAGTGTTTCCCTTGACCTCTGACCTGTTCTCACCTCACCATTCCCAACCCCCCCTCATGCGGTTAGCGCGAACTCACCTCAACCCCCCAGCCACCCCACCGCTTCATCTTCCGCGCAAAGAAGTAGCTGACGGCACCCAGGGCCAACATGAACCAATCCGCATCCGCTCGCCAAGGACGCAAGAGGACCCGGAGCAACACGATGAGAAATCCCACAGGGGCAGTGAAGCAAAGGCCTCCTGGGCGCATCTGTCAAGGGGGTGCATTCTGTTTCTTGGAGGATCCTACTTATTGCATCTATTGGAAAATACCAAATTTCCACAGTTCCCTGAGAAACACGTTCCAAAGTTAAGGGACATGATTGAATCTTTCGTGTCCCTTCGACCGTCGAGGTCAGTGGGTCATTGATGGTCGTCCAGGGACCAGCTGCAAAACCCTCCACACTCCCCTTGCACCCTTTTTCTTGCAATGGTAGACACAAAAGGCCAAGCCGGCGTGCAGGTACCACTGCAAGCTGGCAGGCCACACTCCAGGTCAGGCACTTGGTCCACAAGGGG